GGGGTGGGGGTGGGGGGACCTTGGCGCGGGGCGGGGTGGGGGCGCGTGGGAGCTGCGCAGGCGCTGACCCAGGGCCGTCTCTCCCAGCTGGCGCACGCCATCCGCTTGCTCCTGGAGTTCACCGATACTTCCTACGAGGAGAAACGGTACACGTGTGGGGAAGGTAAGGCTGCTCTGGGTGCCAGTGCGCAGCCGCGCGCAGGCAAGCTGGCCTTCCAACAGTCCCCGTCTTCTGGTGGCCCGAGGGTGGCATCACTCTAAAGTTGAGTAGGACTAGTGCCCCAGTCACCCAGGAGCACTCTGCTGTGTCCTGTGTTGGGAGAGACACATCCTTTATCTGAAGCTGGGATTCTCTCTGTGCCGTATAGCCCAACCCCATCTTAACACTTAACCAAATGGGCCCCAGAGATTAAAATGGTCAGGCTTTGGGGGGCCTGGGAATGCCAGGTATTGGGACTAGATTATTTCTTTACATCTTCCCACTGTCCTCAGTGGACAATTAAGGAGGTCGAGTCCCACTTCCTTCTCTCTCTCACAGCTCCCGACTATGATAGAAGCCAGTGGCTGGACGTGAAATTCAAGCTGGACCTGGACTTCCCTAACGTAGGTGGCTTTAGGAGAAGAGGGAGCAGAAGGGAAAACCGTCAAGTGTATCCCCGCTTCTTTCCTCTCTGGTCCAAGGGGATCTAGAATAGGAGCTTTTAACCTGGATAGAATAAATATAATTCAGGGATCCTTGAATGCAGAAAAAAAATTATATTTTTATAACCACTAACTCTAAATTAACAGCTCCTATTGTGAATATAGGCAATAAGTGATGCTGGTTATGAGCCATGTCTGCGACTTTGTCACTAGTAGAAATCAGGTATGTTCACATTACATGTGTTGCAGATATTGTAAATAAATATTTACGTCTATCATACTTTGATAGTGCGATAGTTATTATACCTGCTTGTCATTTAACTCATTAATAGGCACAAATTACTCTTAAAATCTTGTTTCTTCATGGTTTTATAAATCGTGTAAGTACACGTAATTTGCGTGTAGGGTCCATGGCATGCATATACATACACACACAGGTTAAGAACCCCCGTCTAGATTCAGGTGGGGACCCAGTAGCTACCTTCAACTTATTTTCTTCCTCCACCTAACACAGCATTTTCTCTCTGCTGTTCACTTCCTTGCAAGTCTCACCTTCCCCAAGAGTGAGAGGTAGGGAGGCAAGAAAGTCAGGTTTTTCACTTGACCTGTCCTTTTCCTTGCAGCTGCCATACCTCATGGACGGTAAGAATAAGATCACCCAGAGCAATGCCATCTTGCGCTACATCGCTCGCAAGCACAATATGTGTGAGTGGGGTAGGGTTGCTGAGGGAGACCAGGCTGGTGGTTCACCTGGGAATGGATAATGCTAAGGGTGATTCCTTATTGTTTGGCCTATAGGCGGTGATACTGAAGAAGAAAAGATTCGAGTGGACATTATGGAGAACCAAATAATGGACTTCCGCATGCAGCTAACACGACTCTGCTACAACCCTGACCATGTGAGCTTCCTTAGCAAACAGACGTCAAGGAAAAGGAGCATATAGCAACACAAGGGTTAATTCTCCATTCTGCTCTGCTGCCTTCCCACCAGCCCAGTCTGTCAGGATAGGAAACAGAACTCTTAGTTTTGGGGTGCGGGGGGAATGTTGTCTGTGATGTAACTCTGGTGTTGGCCCCTCTTCTTTCCAAAACCCCTCCTTTCCATCCTGCTGCTCCTACCTGAGGGCACTGAGAGGAAGATACCTGGAGAAGGTGTCTGTCACTGAGTGTCCATCACTGGTCCATGCTGTGATGAGTTATGAAGATGGTGACAGCTGTTGTCACTCTTTTTCTCTCTTTCCCAGGAAAAATTGAAGCCTCAATACTTGGAACAGCTGCCTGTACAACTGAAACAATTCTCCTTGTTCCTGGGGAAATTCTCATGGTTTGCAGGAGAAAAGGTAGGAAGGAAGGAGAGGGAGAGGACACCTTTCTGTCTCTGTAGGTGCTCATGAGCTCCCCAGACCTGACCACCTCATTGTCCTTCTAGCTCACCTTTGTGGATTTTCTCACCTATGATGTCTTAGATCAGAACCGCATGTTTGAGCCCAAGTGCCTGGAGGAATTTCCAAATCTGAAGGCTTTCATGTGCCGTTTTGAGGTAACGCTCCCTAGACCTTTCTCTTACAAAAACACTGAGGCTCCCCATGGTGGTAGATTCCCGCCTAATACCAGCTTTTGCCTGAAGGGATCAATGGTCGGACGCCTCCAGACCTTTAGTCTTGGGAAGGGCCTGGCTTATACACCCTGAATGCACTGTCTACAAGAAAAGGGGTGGCGAGGAGCAGGCAGTATATGAATGTCGCAGAATGGGTCCGTTGGGCTGTGTCAGAATCTTTACAAGGTTTCGTGTGCTTTCCCTTCAGGCTTTAGAGAAAATCGCTGCCTACATGCAATCTGACCGTTTCTTCAAAATGCCCATCAACAACAAGATGGCTCAGTGGGGCCAAAAGAGAACATGCTGAGCAGGCGGCCAGCTTCCACTCCATCCTGTCCATTCCATCCTTCCCTGTGGGCCCTGTATTCTCTCTTCTCTGCTCTTTTCAATAAATAGCACTTAGGCTACCAGTGTCCAGCTGGATTTCTCTTGGGAGTAAAAGCCGGGGGAGAACAAGGCTATGTGGAAAATTACCAAGTTGTAAATTCAGTCCCTGCAACATTGACACACTGTATCCCCCAAGCATGTTCAGTGGCCAGAGGGTCTTTCCCGAGCCTTGAGAGAAAGTACTAGAAATGAAGGTGAGATTGCACAGTTGGAGAGAACAGGTGTGTTAAATGGGACTGGAGCCCCTGTGAAGACCTGGTGAAGACACCAAGTTAAACTGTGTGGGACTGTGGGCTTACCAGAACCTGAGTTCAGAACCAGACCCTTTTCTATAAGAATTTAGTGTGATAAAGACAGTATTTCAAACTGGTGGGCTAACCAATAAACAGGATTGGGACAATTACTTACCAATTAAAAGTAAAAGAACCCTATCTCGCAGCGCGCACTACAATTCATCTAGAATTTAAGATCCAATGCTAAATACAAAGCTGGAGAAGTATGAATGAAAATGTAAGAATGTATGTGATTATAGAGTAGGAAAAGTGTCAATGAGAAAAAAAGTCATCAAAGGAAAGATTTGCTAACAGATTTTTTAAATTTTCTATGATAATGCACAAATAAGTAAAATTAAATAAGTGAGTTAAAAGGGATTAATATAAAGATCAATGTAAAGAACTATAAATCATCAAGACAACTCAGCTTTTAAAAGTGGACCAAAAATCTGAACAATTTACAGAAATGGAAATATTGATGGACAAAAAGTTTATAATCCAAAGAACTGCAAATTACAAGAAAGCACTTTTCCATCTATCAAATGAACAAAAAGAAGTTTATAAATATTGGCAAGGCTTGGGAAAGTGGTATGCATTTCCTGCTGGTGAACTTGTAAGTTGGTATTCGGGAGACAATTTGTCAATATCTTCTCAAATTCCAGTCATATCCTGTGACCCAACAATTCCATCCTATTAAAAACTCACCTTATACCTATTGTATGTATATACCTATATACTTATATCTATTATATGTATATACCTATATATATTAAGACCATGGCACTGTTCATAATAACATAAGTGGAAATCAGGTAAATTCTCATTGATATGAAATACCATGAGGCAAAGAATGAGATTGAGCTGTAGGAGCTGACGTGGGAGGATCCCCAAGACAAATTGTCGAATTCATAAAATTGGGTTGCAGATTAGTATATACATTGATACCTTTTATGTTTTAATAAAGGAAACCATGAGGTAAGCATGTTCTACAGATAGATTTATGGATGTGAAATGCATAAAAAAAATGAAACACCAAACTGATGAGACTTACTATAGACAAATGGGAGAAAGACCCATAAAGGAGACTTTAGAAATTAGCTAAGGATTTCTGTGTTTTAACTGGGGGAAATTTATTCATGCCTTAGTGTGTAATAGAAGCTAGTTTTAAGAAAAGAAAGCAAACATAGGGGAAACTCCTGTGAAGATAGAATTGGCACCACTTGCCATTTGCAGAGCAAAATCTTTGAGTAGTTTCCAGCCTAAGACAGTGACCTGAGGGTCAGGACCCAAGGATCTCTTGAGGGAGGGAGGGACAGAGGGCCAGAATGGCCAGGAGAGCCAGTCATGTCAGGAGCACTGCCTCAGGAGGGATTAGTATAGACAAAGATATTAAGCAGATAGTTCAACTGCCAACTTTGCCTCCCCTGGTAGTAGTCATTAGCTCTCCAGGCCAATATTTTGGATATGGGAAGCCTTTGGCCAGAAGAGGTGTAAAGCTAGGAGTTTCTCTGCCATCTATAACTACTGACATGAATTTCACACTGAAGTGTGTGGCCTAAGGGAAGACCTCGTGGATTTAGGGGAGGCAGAGATATTGAAGACACCTCTGAAACTAGAGAGAGGATATGACCAGAAATTAGAGAATATGTTGTTTATTGCTGTATAACAATATTACCACCAACTTAGCAGCCTAAACCCACACGCATTATCTCAGTTTCTTGGGTTAGGAGTCAGGGCACAGCTGTGTGGGATCCGCTGCTTCAAGGTCTCATCTGAAAGCTGTGGCCAGTGTGTCAGCCAAGGCTACGGTCTCATCTCAAGGCCCAGCTGGAGAAGGCTCTTCTTCTGAGTCCATGTGATTGTTGGTGGAATTCAAGTTCTTATGACCTGTTGGACCGAGGGCTTCAGGTTCTGGCTGGCTGTCAGCTGGAGGCCACCCTTGGTTCCCTGCAAAGGGGGCCTTTTGATTCATCAAAAGCTGTACGGAGGAGTTTCTTGGAAAGAGGGACACTACAGTCCTATGTAATGTAATGCAATTAATGTAATGTAATGTAATTAATGTAATGTAATGTAATGCAACGTAATGTAATGGCGATGACATCCCATCGCCTTTGCTATATTTCATTAGAAGCAAACCACTCGTTCTGCCCAAGGTGGGATTATAGGGGACCATTTTAGACGACAGGAAAGAAGGCAAGGAAACATGAAGTCGGGCCTGCAGTCTTCTGAGAAAAGAATCCTGAGAAAGACAGGTCTGGGGGTGAAATGCATATCCCATGAATTCCAGATAGACAATAGACAAATCACACATTCCAACCTTTTCCAGTTATTACATTTGTTATTGAAAATCCACTTAACAGTTCTCCAAAACCAATGTACTTACTGGTCCGGGAGGAGGGAAGGCCACTGAGAGAAAGAGATCCATTCCACAGGAGATTGGCACCCCCAGGGCCCGTCCCTCCCTAACTAATTCTAACTTGGGCCAAGTAGAGAATGTTGTCACAATGGCTGTCTTCAAGCAAGGAAAGACACCCTATCACTACAGAGGCACAGACGCCACACAAATGCTGAGAAATTAGTATACTAGTAACAGGTTTGTGCAAGTAATATCAGTCAGAGCTTTAAAAAAAAAAATGTCATCAGAGCAGTTTTCCAAGAAACATTAAAAGCAACTCATTTGTATTTATTGAAGATTGAGCAACGGGATTAAGGCGTTTCTAGTTCAGAAGACAATAGCTTCTGTGATTTAAGAAAAATTTATTGTGAAGTTATTTCATTGATGGGACAGGTAGAGTGGGGGACGCTGATGTGTGTGGACATGGATCTGCCTTTAAAGTCAGCCTGAGGGCTTATGAGAAAATCCGGAGTCTGGACTTGTACAGAAATTGCACATCCAGTATCCTTCAGCAGCAGGACGAGGTTGAGCAATGAGTCACACTGATAAAAAGGGATTTAGGGAGTTCGGATGGATGGTAGGGAACAGGGAAGGAATTGACATTTAGCCAGAGATTCTTCTAATGTGAAAATTTGCTCATGTCACTCCCCTGCTTAAATACAATTAGTGGCTTCTTAGGCCTTGGGGGAAAGTCCCCTCTGGTGTACAAAATCCTTCGTAATCTGACCTCCGCTTCTCACCCGGCTACATCTGACAGGTGCCTGCCCTGCCCCCCTGCCTTAGAGAAGTAGGTTCCAGCCTTTCTGAATTCCCTAGGGAGCTGCACAGACGCTGAGGTCAGGCTGCCTGGCTTCAGATCCTGGCTCTGTCATGACTCCTGTCCCTCGGTGCCTTCTCTGATAAAGACCCTCCC